GCAGCAAACCCCGAGACAGCATGATACCAGTGCGGCTTATGGCACGGCAGGTCAGCTGGATCGGAAGCAGTGAAGTCACCGAATAGCTGGTAAACGCCTCCTGGTTCTTTAAACATCCTCTCAACGTATCCAGGAAAGCAAATAAACAAGGTCCAGCTGGCCTCAGCCATGAAGGAGCGGCAAGTGGCTCGGTTTATGCAACCGGCATCATTCGGCCAGACTCGGCCCGGTGCTGAGACTGGACCCGGTGCTGAGACCGGGCTCAGTCCTGAGTCTCGCACCGGTGCTGAGACTAGGCCCGGTGCTGCGGCTCGGCCCGGTGCTAGGTACTAAGGCTCGGCCCGTTGCTGAGACTGGGCCCGGTGCTGAGACTCGCACCGGTGCTGAGACTCGGCCCGGTGCTGAGACTCGGCCCGGTGCTGCGGCTCGGCCCGGTGCTGAGACTCCGCCCTGTGCTGAGACTAGGCCCGGCGCTGCGGCTCGGCCCGGTACTGAGGCTCGGCCCGGTGCTGGAGCATTCCACCCCGCCTGCCAGCCAGCCCCCGTGCGACGAACCCGGCGCCGACCCTCGAGCCGTTGCTGGCCGGCGGGTCGGGTCCGGAGCCCCGGCAGACCGCCGGGCGGACGGACGTGGCAGGCGGTGTCTGGACCCCCGCCGGGAGCCGTCAGCAGGCGGCCGCCGGCCCGCGCCGCCGGCCCGCCGCCGGCCGCCGGTCGCGTCGAGCCGGCTGTTTTTCTGAATCGGCGCGATATCGTGCGAGCATCAGCAGGTAGAAGGGCCAGATCCGCGCGCGCAGATGGGCCGCGCACCGCTATCGCCGCGCCATCTGCGGCGCGCCGGGTACGCCGGTGCTGCGGTAGATGCTATCAGCCGGTGTTGGGTTACCGTGATTTATCCGCGCTCTCCGGGCCGGACAGCTGGGCCGTCGTCATGGCGACGAGCCGAGACGGCGCGCCGGCGGGGCGGCGGCTGCCGGTGGCTCTTCTCTCGCTGGGGGAGCAGTTCCTGGAGCGCCAGTCTCAGCCAGCAGCAGGTGCATCACTCTGCCCCGGTAAGTCAACACACAACCGGCCGCCTGGCTTCTGGGGCGCATTTAGCAACCACGATTAATGGTCGAACAGGAGGAACGCTTCACAGCGGCTGAGACCTCGTCTCCTCCCCGGATTTAACTGCGCCGTTTAACCAGCCAGATTCACAAAACTCAGGGGCGATAGACGGCTCCCTGGACTCCCTGGACGCGCTTCTGCTGACGTTGAGTCATCTGTCGCGTGATCCCGACCCCACGAACCAGCATGCTGACAACTGACGGACGTGTCCAACAGTGGACGCGTCCCCGAGGCTTGCGTGCGCTCGCTCCGCGCGGCAGGAGCGTCGCTTACTCGGAAGTGAGGCGCCCGCCCGGCTTGGGTCTGGAGCCCACGCCGTCTGGCGCTGGCCCGCGCTCCGCCCCGTCCCAGGGGACGGGTGCGGTCTGGTGACGGCCTCGCTGACGTCACGGCCGGGCGGTGACGGCCGACGGCCTGTGACCCCGTCACCGCGGAGCCGGCCGCACCCCCCCCCCCCCCCTCGCCGGCGCCGCCCGGCTGCTGTGGCGACGGCGTCGGGTTCCCGCGGGGTCTCGGGAGCGGGGTGAGCGGGCTGGGATCGGCCCGGCTCGGGGGTGGCCTGGTGTGGTCAAGCCTGGCCTGCGGGAAACGGTGCTCC